GCCCGGCCCGGCGGGCCCGTCATTTCACTAGTTTCGAAATTTTCAAAAAACACATAAGGGGGGACCCTTATGTGATTTTTTTCGACCAAAAAATTTTTTTTCGAGTTTTTCGATCTTTTTTGATCAGACAGACACACAATCCGAAATACGAAAAAAAAAAACGGAAAAAATTATATTGAGAGCTCAAAATTTGGCTCAAAAATACAGAATTTTTGACACCGGACCTTCCGGGCCGGGCCCGGGCCTTGAAAATTTCCTCAGGCCCGGCCCGGGCTTTGGCGGGCCGGCCCGGAATTTTACAAGTATGCCTCGCTTAAAGTGTTCATAATTTTCTCTCTCTCTCTCTCTCTCTCTCTCTCTTTCCCTCTCTCTCTCTCTCTCTCTCTCTCTCTCTCTCTCTCTCTCTATCGTTTTGCTCTCCAATTAGAAAATTACTAATTTTTCAAAAATTTTTTTACAGGCGTCGCTTCTCTCTCATTACCTCCTGAGCTCGTCGTGAGACCTCCCTTCTGATTTCTTTTCTTTCAAGAAATCAGCTCCTGAGCTTCTGCTTGTCTCCCTGTTAAACCCTTCTCTTCTACCTCCAAAAACATGCCTACTTCAGTTATCGCTCCACACATGAAAGAAGCCTCCCAAACTATATTCGTCCAGAGGTGAGTTCAAAAAAAGTATATAAATTCGTAGCAACAAATTCCAGACTTCGACGATTCCCTTCCTATCACATACATCGTGGGAAATTTGAGATCCAAAGCGTCACAATCTGTTACGATGACATAGTCTCCAATGTCTTCACGGTCATAAGCGCATCTGGTGAAGTTTGGAATTCTGGTGCCCTCAAGGAAGGTGTGTGCATGATTTCTTTTATTTTGGAGTATAGTGTAATCAGTCAGTTCGAATCAAAGGGAAACCTTGGTGAGTTGAAAATTGAAAAAAATACCAAAATTTCAATTTCGAGCTCATTATTTTCAGATCTCAGTTCAGCGGATTTGGAGATAGTTTCTTCCGCATCCGCATTCTTCATAAATTCAATAGAAGGAAAGCCTAATCGCCTTACAATGAGACTTCTTGAGAAGTCCAATAAAGAATTGTTAAGGGAGGTGAAGCTCAGCCATTCGAATATGGCAATACCCCTGAAACAGATTCTGAAGATCCCAGTAAGTGGTATTTTCAAACACTATAAATATGAGAAATAAAACAATTTCCCAGATGCCAAACGTCCGAACCATGTTCTTCAATTTTGTGAGCTATCCGGAGGCCATCTCGGAAATGGCTAAGAGGTGGACAGACACCGCGCCTGAAACCAAGATGACCATCAAAATGAGGGGCAGTTTTAATTGGATGCTCAATTTCAAGACTTCCTTCTTTTCCAAGATCCTGTAAGTTGAACTATCAAAAGTTTCATTTGAACTGTAAACCTTAATTTCAGGGAAGAATCGCAAGACAAATTTGTAATTGAGACCGATTCTCGTGATAAGGTCATCGAGTTGAAGCTGTTGGACTTTCGAGCTAAGTGTCGTTGAAATCAGACGTCACCTCGATGTCCAATTTCGAGACGAAGATTAATAGTTTTCAGTTGTTTTTTGTCTTGTTTTTCATCTCATTTCTAACTTTTCGTTTTCAATTTCCTTCAAAGTTGTTCTTTGTTTTGCCAACTGTTCTTTTTTTTGTTTTTTTAAGAATCTCAATTTCAAGTTATCTATGCGAACTGACCCTGTTAAATTCCCTGCCATCGGTTGTAATGCCCACCTAGAGATCCCAAACTTTCCTGCTCTCCTGATTATCACTTTCTCTTGTTATCACTATTCGAACTGCAAGGCTCCGGATTTACCTTCCCTCCAGAATCCAGAATCTTGTCTTCAACATTACCTTTGGAATCCAAAGACCTTCTTTTCCTCAATTTTACCTGCACACTAATACCAGATTAATAGTTCTCCTCAATTCTTCCCCGTTTCCACTCAATTGAAGCTTCCTGTGCCCTTTACCCCGGTTCCCCCAATTAGTGCTCCCTGTGTGACTAATCCATCTCCGCGGCTATATAATTTTCTTTCCCTGTGCACATTCCAAAATGAGTTTCAATAAAACAAGCATCGCTTCGAAATTCGAGCTTCCTGTTTTCCTTAATTTTTGAAAAGCTTCAGAGATTTCAGGTAAGTTTGAAATATTTGGATTACTTTTAATTTGCTATTTATTTCGGATGATGATTCCTCTGGATTACGGTATATGGATGCTTAATTGGTGAGTCTTTTCTTAAATGTTTTTCATGTTAATAGAATTTCAGAGATTTAGTAAGTTTGAACTATTTGGATCAATTATAACTTCCTATTTATTTTGGACGATGAAAATTTTAGATTACGATATTTACATTCAGATGGTGAGTATTTTTCCTGAAGTCTTTTCTTCCCAGAAATTGGTAAGTCATTCAATTTTCATACATCGGATTACACTATTCTCTTGAGTACTTGGTGAGTCAAATTTGAAGAAAAAGATTTTCAGATTCTTAATTTCAAGTTATATAGGATTTCAATTGTCCTAGAATTTCTTTCTTTCAAGGTGAGTCAATAAAAAATACATATTTCCAGATTTCCAATTTCCAATTCTAGTTCTATTAAATAGCAAATAATTTTTATAGATGGAACATATTTATAATTATTCAATTATTTATCAATTTTTAATCAATCATCATGTTTAATCAATTATCAATTATCAATTAAATGTTACAAATATCTAGAAAATTATTTATTGTGAGATAGAAATATTAAATTTAAAACTTTCATTTTAAACTTTCAGATTTTTCAGATCTCAGAATGCCCAAGACGAGAAATTGAGGTAAGTCCTGAAAAAGTGGATTTCAGATATTCCGGATTCTTTAACAGCTTCATATTCTAGAAAAGTTGGGAATGGATATTTTCAAGTTGTAGGATATGTTTTACAAAATTCAAATTCTTGGATACTAGGCTTTTAGAGGATAGAGCTTGAAAATCGATTCTCACTCTTTCTGAGTTCCCGAAATCCTTAACTTCTGGAATAACTTTTATTCCCAATTCTTCAAAAATTCATGTACTTTTTTCTGTTGTCCTCTTCTCATAATTGTTTTGTAGTTCGTTTTGGCTCTGGTGCGCTCTAGCTCATTACCTTCTAATCCTCTTCTTCTTCTTCTTCCTTCCCCTTCTTCTTCCCCTTCTTCTTCTTCCCCCTCCCCTCACACCAAAAGATTTTCTTGGCACCACGCCAATTGCAAGATTTTCTAACTATCTGCGTCTCCTTATCAGAAAAGTGATGTTGGCGTCTCCTTATAAGAGGTTCTATTTCTTTTAGAGGAAGCAGTTGGAAAAGAAAACAGAGCGAAAAAAGAAGACGAGATAGGCTTGAAAAATTGTTTCCGAGTTGTCAAAATTTTAAGGTAAACTGTAAGGACCTACAAAAAGGTCAACATTTCAAATATTCCAGATAGTCAAAAACAATTAAAAATTAAAAAAAAAGAACATTCCAAAAGTTTATTCTCTAAAAATAGCACTAAAAAGTTTCCGATTCAATCTCCTTTCTGACTGGTTCCGGCTCAGCTGCTGGTGCTTCTTGAGCATCTTTTTTAACGTCTTCTTCTTTCTTATCCTCAGCTCCTTTGTTTGAATTCGGCTCTTCTGTAGCTAATCCAGTTTTAGATTTCGTTTTTTCCGGTGCCATCTTCCCATTTTTCCCATTTTTGGCTGATTTTCTAGTATCTTTTTTCTGAGATTTTGAGCAAAAAATCAAGATTGGAAGGGCGCAAAGTTGGAGAAGAATGATGAGAATGGTCTGAAAGTAGTTGATGGAATCTGACAGATTTAGAGAAAAAAGTCCAACCTCAAAACCCAGCATTTGTAAATAAATTCAATGAATTTTGAAAATATGAGAATAACACTATTGAAATTCAAGATAAGAACTATCTTTTTTAGGACAAAAAAGTGGCTGAACACGAACTTTTGGTCATTTTCTCTTATCAATTTTTTGAAATCTCTCGAAAAATATTTTCAAAAATGGCATCCGCTACAGAAGATTTTATTTGTGAAGCTTGTAAGGATTCCAAAAACTAAGAATTTCTGAAAATCAAAAAAATTTTTAAAGATTTACGTACTGATAAGTATAGCACGTTCATCTGCTCGTGAACGGCCACTCAAAAGGAATGACCGGATCGGCTCTTTTGCTCGTTCTTCTGATTTCTGGATTGCTCATATTTTTGATTTATCAAAAACGAAAAGAGGAGAGCAGCAGTAAATACAAGGGATATGTTGGGAAAGCGGAGAAATTTTAGGAAAGTTTTTGGAGAATAACTTTATTGAAAAAAATGAATTTTTTGCTATTTTATGGTTTTTTTTTTCATTTTTTTAAACTTTTTTTGAATTTCAGATTCAAACTTTTAAAGTTTCGTAATTCCAGATTTCCAGATTTTTAAGCTTTCAGAAGTTAAGGAACTCTGAAAATTCGAAGCTCTGAAATTTGGAAACTCTGAAATTTTGAAATTTCGAATTTCTGAATTTCGGATTTCTGAATTTCTGAATTTCTGAATTTTTGAATTTCTGAATTTACAAATTTTCGAATTACAGAAATTCAAAAACCTCAATGATTTAAAATTTCGACATTCCGAAATTTCAAAACTCTAATTTTCTGAAATGGTAAAATTTTAAGTTTCTGATATTCTGAAATTCTGAAATTCTGAGATTCTGAGATATCGAGATTCTGAAATTTTGGAAATGTTGTAATTCATATTTTCTTAAATTCTGAGTTTTTGATATTTTGAAATATGAAATTTTGAAATTCTGAAGGTTGTTATATTCTGAAGTTCTGAAACATTTGAAAATCAAAATTTTAGAAATTGAATCAAGAAACAAAAATTTGGATTTTCAGATCTATTGAACCAATTTATCCAAAATTATCCGCCGAGATTTTTTCGAAAACCGTGAAATCTGATAAAAAATTGGAATTATCATCATATATTTTTCCCTACCCCAATGCTCTCTTTCTTTTCTATTCCTTCCCCAAAAATGCTCCAACTTCTAACTACAGTAATCCTCCTGCTTCTCTCCCTTCTCGTCCATTCCGACCCAATTTATGTCAAAATGGACATGACATGTGATGGGATCGATCAAAAATATTGGTGCGCCGATTTGTACATCTATGAGGAGGATTAGTAAGAGTTTAAAAATTTTAAAATTGAAAGAAAATTAAAATTCCAGCGACGACACTCATGACATTCTGACATTCGAAAGATTGTGCACGAGCGAGAAGCGGAAGGTGTTCAAGTGGGAGTTCAATCCAGATGGAGACGTGTCGCCAGTAGGTCAAAATATTTTTTTTAATTTAAAAAATTTTTAAAGTACAGTAATCCTTCAGGAATACGAAATCGCCTACCAAGTCAGTCACAGCTGCACACCGACCGGACAGTATTGGTGTATTCGGCCAGAGGCGGTGGATGTGAGCGTTCGTGGACCGTAAGTAACTAATTAGGATGCTCAATTAATTAATTAATTAATTAATTAATTAATTAATTACTTACAGACAACAAGTGGATTTCAATGTGGATCTTTTCAACGCCGAGAACGTCACCGAAAGTGCTTGTCTTCCAATGTATTGAGACCTCTTTTTTGAAAATTGAAAGAAATGTGAAACCGGTTTTTTTCTGGAATTTCGAACTTTTGGAATTCCAGAATCTCTAATTGAAATAAAGAATTTCTGCATATTTTGTACCTTTTTTTACAGGAAAAGTGGAAAAAATGTGAGAATCAAATTATGAGATAAGCTTAAAAAATGATTTGTTAAAGTTAGTCAGAATCTGAAGAATCTGAAGAGTCAGAAGAAGATGAGGATTCTGAAGAATCCTTGGAAGATGGAGAAGATTCAGATTCTCCTTTTACTGTAGCCTCAGCAGAAGCATTTTGTCTCTCCAACTCCTCCTCGGCTTCTCTTTTTTGACGATCCAGCTCACGACGAGCTTCCTCTTCTCTTTGCTCCTTTTCACGGAGAGCGCGACGCTCTTCGTATTCCTTGTCACGTCGGGCTCGACGCTTCTCACGATCCTCGAGATCTTCTTGACGTTTTCGGTGCTCTTCGAGAGTCTGTTTTTTGCTCTGAAATGATAGAAAATTGGGATTGAAGGTGTTGTTTCTAGTTTCTGGAATTCGGGATTCAAAAATTTCGATGTTGAATCCACAACTTCTAAACATTGTGGAGTCAATACTCTTGAAAATTCTGAATCGTTTCCAAAGGTTCATAATCCAACACTCGAACACTTCACACTTCAAATTCTCAAATTTAGGAAACTTTGGAAACTAGAATGTCCAGAGATTCTGAATCCAGGACTTGAGAATTTTGGAAATCTAGAAACCGGATTCTCACCTCCTCACGTCTCCAGTGTGGCGGAGTGGCCGATCGAGTGCGATTCCCCAAGAATGTCACTTTTCCACGTCCCTTGATTTTGACGCCGTCCTTGGTGGTGATGGTCTGGAAAAGTTTCAGATTGCTTATTGGTTAGGGTGGCTCATATTGCTCACCGGTCTCTTCCTATCTCTTTTCTCACGATCTTGTGGACTTCTGGAGCGCCGGCTTCTGGAGCGAGAACGTCGCTTTTCACGACGGTGGTCATCCCGACGACGATGACGTCTATCTTCTGAATCTTTCTTCCTGTCTTCTGGAGACCGAGAACGACGCATCAGCCAGTTGTTGGTTTTCGGTTCGTCGTCCATCTTGACACCGGATGGCTCTCTGGAATATGGGAATTTATTGGATATTAGTAATCCAAGAATCTTTCAACGAAATGATAAAAAACTCACTCTTCCTTCTTCTCCTCCTTCTGATCTTTCACTCCTCCTCCCTTCTTAACCATCTCTCCGGAATACACCACTTGTACCTTATCCAACGGCCTGTCTTCTTCGTCAGCCTCCAGATTCTCGATCCTTTTCACCAAATCAACCCCCTTCACGATTTCTCCAAACACCACATGCTTTCCATCCAAATGTGGTGTCTCCTGGGTAGTAATGAAAAATTGGGATCCATTGGTATCTGGTCCTCGATTTGCCATGGATAGAAGATAAGGTTTGTTATGTTTTAAGGAGAGATTCTCATCGTCAAATTGGCGTCCGTAGATTGAAAATCCGCCTTGACCATTCTTATGGGTGATATCGCCACCTTGGATCATGAATCCTTTGATGACACGATGAAAGATGGAGCCTTGGTAGGTGGCTGGGTGTCCATAGAGCTCACCAAGCTCTCCGGTGCACAGTGAGCGGAAGTTTTCGACAGTATTGGGGCCTGTAAATATTAGATGAGGCTTGAAAAGCGTCGATTTCGGTGCATAGTAACTCGACTGAAATTTGACCATACTTCAATCAAAGTCAAGGGGGATTCAAAGGGGGGATGGAATGGATGGCTTAAGTTTGAGCTCAATTATCTCGGCTCCTCGTGAAGATTTCTAAAAGCTGTCAACTGATTAAATATGTATCATAACATCATCAATATTTTATCAGTGGATGGATTTTTGATAGCTCTCATATGAACCGAGATAACTGAGCTAAAAGTGGACGTATAGAGAAGGCAGGTTGTATGGAAATTCGATTCCAAAAAATTTCAAACTCACAACTAAAATTCCATAGTGCAAAAACAATGCGCCCAGCTGGCTCTCCATTGATACTGACGTCGAAAAATGCACGCTTGTCTCCACGAGCAATCGGGGCCATAACGGCTTCTGGAATTAGTAAATTTAGGAGAAAATCAATAAGAAAAAAAAGTATTCAAGAAAATAAGACAAAGAAAATGAGGAAAAAGTAAACAAGGAAAAACGAAAAATCGATAGATAGGAAAGTCAATAGGCGTTTACTAATAGAAGAGGGAGAGAGGTACTGTTGTTGGTCTGACAAGGAGGATAATGGGATTGATTTTTAGAAATCAATAGGGTGGTGCACATTTGGGAAGACAACAGCCTAGGTTACCAGTCAATACCGGCCAATAATACAGGTCAATAAGATATAAAATGGCAAATTTTCCAATTGGTTTTTGACATTTTCAGAAGCATAGAGCTCGGTTGTCAAGTTTAAAATAACTTTAACACTTTTGGAGAGTGTAAAACATGCCTAGATTAAAAACTTTGTATTCACAGAATTTTCTGAAAATTCCTAGTTTTTCAGCTATTTATAGATTTCTGGACGACACTTTTTTGGTTCTTTTTTAAGCCATATGTAAAATAACAAGTTCAAGAAAAAATTTGAAAATCACATTTATTCAAATTTACATACACATGAAAAATGACACATATGCATATTACTCGCTAAATTTCCAGATTCCTTGGTCGGTTCCCTCGGTACAGTGGCCTAGAAGAAGTTTCCGACGGTGGTCCACATAGCGGCATGTGTCCTGGACCTGGAATATTTTGGAATCTTGGAATCTTGGAATCTTGGAATTTTAGAATCTAGCGAATCTTCCCACCTTCAACTTTAACATCCTCACATCCCCACTCAAATCCAATTGCTGCTCCAAAATCGCTGACAACTGCTCTGTGGCCATTTCCAAGTCCTTCTGATTAGACTCAAAAATCAGACTCTGATTATCATTCCTTTCCAAATAGAATGCGAATACATATGTATAGATCATAGTACGTCTACACGCCGAAAGCACTTCTATGGCATCTGGCAGAAATTGAACATCGATCCACGTCATTGTAGATCTCTTCTGGAGTTGCTCCATTTTCACTTGAACTTTGCTTTGAGCTGAAATTACGGAAAAATATTTAGGGGTTTCTTTAACTGGATTACCTTTTCCTCTAATTTCAGACTCCTCTGATGTCCCAAAAATCGATTATAGTAGAATAGGTACCTATTCAAATCGAATCGGGACTGTTCTCGAGCATCTTTAGCTGACTTCACTTCGAAACTGAACGAAAAACCAGATTTAATTCTACATGGGGAACTGAACAGTTGGATAACGAGACGCGCTAACTGTCTGCGTCTCTCTAAAATTCAAGTGACTTTATCTCGGGTTCTAGAGGAGCTAGAAAGTTCCAATAAAAACAAAAATCTTTCCAGAAGGTTTAATTTTGAGATTTACCCCAAGGACTTACCTATTACACGGGCTATACCCATGTGCATCCCAATTTTTCAAACACATCCAACAGAATAGAAAACGGCAAGACTGACACATGATCTTATTACACCCGCCGGCCTTCTCGATATGCTTGTTGCAATTCGGACAGTCTTTGGTGTTCGCATTGATCCAGTTGAAGGATTCGGTGTCATCAATACAGCGGAGATTCCAGATTCTCAGAAGGCGACACGAGACTGGTGCGTGCCAATTTTCACCACATGAGAAACAAAATGTGCATCCACAGGGGCAAGTGATGGGGTGGTTGTCGGTATGGGTTAGCTGGAATTTGAGAACTTTTCATTGGAAGTAAAAAATCCAAAAACTCCGGAATCTTGAAAATTTTTCAAGCCTCCTAGATTTCGAAATCCGAAAAGGCAAGATTGCCAAATTTTTCAGATATGGTCAACTAATTAAATATGCGAATTTGTCTAATACAAATATATCTTGAAAACCGAAAGGATGTAGAGGGATTAATTATGGGGTGGATACAAATCATGAGCATAGAAACGAGTCATGCGTAATATCCCAATCTTGGAGAAGACAAAATTTCTAAGATTTAGTAATTTCTTAGAATTCAGAAGGCGTCTGAAGGTATTCATACTAGGGACATATGCTGTACGTTTAAACTGTTTATCATAATGTCAGTGACATTTTATCAGTTGACACAATTTTGAAGTGTTGCATGGGAACCGAGATAATTGAGCTCAAAGTGAACGTATAGAATGGGCTACTATCAGAGCATTTCTGGTGTGCTAACTTCTACAGCTTATAACTTGCTTCAATTTCACAATTTTGAAACAAATCAAAACGTATAATTTAGAACTTGAAAAGCCCTTCGAAATGATATACAACACTTCAACCACCTCCAAATTTTAGGTCTGATCCTGTTAGGACAGTAATAGTCCCACCACTCGCCTTCACTGCTCTCACACAATCCGCTCCTGGACACCATTTCAATTGGCTGTTGGCTTCTACATAACTTTCAATCATCCGCCGACGGAACAAAGCTACCATAGCTGGGTCAGTAATATGTCGGAGTACCTGAAGACTGCATCCTGTGTATTTGAGTGCCTAGATTACCTAGCAAGTGCTAGCTAGTAGTAACCAACCTTCTCATCCTCCGCCAGCAATTTACACCCGTTTGCCATGCACTCGATGCCTCCTACTCCCGCCACAATTCTCTGACTCAAATAAGCTTCCCAACAAATGTCACAAGCCGAGTGGTTGCAACTCAAACTGCTCAGTGAGCCGACACCACAGCAGATAGGGCATTCGCCGTCATTGGAAGCAGCCACCAACAATTCTGTGGTCTCCAAACTCGAGAAATCATGAAAGTGCTCCATCAAATGCTCCTTATTCCATTTATGCTTCCGGAGAAGGATCCTGCAGCTTCCTCTGGAAACTTCTAGAATCGATTGGACATCAGAGATGGTGCCCTCCATTTCTTCTTCTAGTTCAGAGGTTGTGAGGAACTGAAAAAAGTATTTTAAACAGAAAATTTAAAACAAAAAATACCTGATCCTCCGCCTCATCTCCTTGCTCCGAACCAACATCGCTCATCTCAAATTCACTGTCTGATTCCATTTCTAAAAGTGCAACACAATTATTTTTAGGTCTTTTTTTGATTTAAAAATAGATTTAGAACTAGCAAAACTAGTTTTTCCTTATGCTGAGGAAGAAGTGATGAGGAACTCATAAGAATTAGCAATTGCTGATTGACAGCCTTTCTACTAATACTGATATAAAAATAGGAAAAACCCATAAAATTAGGAAAAGAATTGCTTCGCGCCAAAATGGGGAATTCAGATGAAGTGGAGAAAAATATAGAGAAAAGGAGAACTAAGGAGACGCAGAGAAATAGAAAGGGCAATGTCTTCGTGTTGAGAAGCATATGATGAGGAATGAGAGAGAGAGAGAGAGAGAGAGAGAGAGAGAGAGAGAGAGAGAGAGAGAGAGAGAGAGAGAGAGAGAGAGAGAGAAGAGTTAACATGAGCCTTCTAGGTGTCAGATTAATAAGTGCGGGAGAAACAAAGGAAGGAAAAGATTCTGAAAAAATGGTTAAAATTTTTTTTTATTGTTAAAGTTTGAGAATCTTTTTGAAAACAATAAATAGCTTAAGTTCTCGACATTTTTTCAATTAAAAATTAAATTTTAAAACCAAAGAAAAAAGAGTATCTAGGGCGTCCCAAAGTTGTTCACTCTGTCCTAGCCCCTCCCAATTTTCCAGAAACCTTTAAAGGTGGGGGGACATGAAAAAAATAATGTTCTCGAAATTCCGTTCAAAGATGCCCCTCGAGGAGTTGAACTTGTGAGGGCGATGAATGAGGGTGCGGCGCCGCTACCGACTGAGCCACGCGGGCAAATAGAAAGCGGACGCCCGATTGCATACATAAAGGCGAGGACGACAGCTGTACGCAGAGTGACATTAAGCGTTGTACACCGTTACGGTAGAATGCATACTCTAGCTACAAAAAAACTACGAAAAATCTCCTGTCCCCCCACCTTTAAAAAATCCAGAGCAAGCCAATGAGATGGCTATAAATGTTGGAAAAATCTCTAGAAAAATCAATAAATCTGGCTGGAACATTTCCTTCCAATCATCTACAGTATCATCTGCCAAGGAGCTAAACGTTCGAGGAAGAAAATAAGATGCCTGAAGAAGAGGAAATCCTCGTAAAGGACTGGCGAGAACAACTCAGAAAGGACTTAACCAAAATGTGTAGAGACTGTAAGTACCTTGCTCTTTAAGCTCCATTATCTCGGTTACTAAAAAAGAAATAAAAAATGTCTCAATTGATAAATTGTTTATCATATTATCAGTAATATTTTATCAGTTGACAAAAACTCGATAACTATTTTGGAAACTGAGATAATTCAGCTCAAAGTGTACGTATCAGGTGGGCTTCTGTCAGAGCAATAACGGCATTTCTTAACTAAAACTGCCCTTAAATCTTGCTTTTTAAGCTTAATTAACTTGTTTTCTATAAAATACGTTTTAAAAAATTGTTTTCCAAATGTGGACGAAGGGAAACCTCAAAAAACCGACGATGACAAATTCTTGTATAAAACATGTTGCGTCCAAAACTCCTTTTGTGAGGTTTGGGCCCAAACTTGTTTCTGGATCCTCATTGGATGTATTATTCTGGCTCTGATTGTGCTCAGTGTCGTGGATGTGTTCTTTGTTGTTGCTGTCGTAAGAGATTGTGTTGTGGAGCTGATAAGATGAATGATGTGGAGGTGGAGAATCCAAAAATCTTCACAGGATTCTCCAGGGGACTCGATTCTCCAGGGGTCTCTTCACAGGATTCTCTAGGGGACTCGTCTAGTGATTCTGAATAGCGCACTTGTTAATTTATTTGGATTATTATCAATAAAAGGTTTTGTTAGTGTTCGATACGTCCTTCATCCCTATAATTTTATAAGGCAGTCCCAATGACGTCATCACACTAAAAGACAGGAAGATATCCACGACCAAGTTGGCAACAGACACCCAAGGAGAGAGTACACTGTATCGAGAGACGGAGTGTCTAGTAGCTCTCTCCTTATTGCTAATCTCTCGCAATTGGGACCGTAAAGGTCATAGCAATACGCATGTTTCATGTGGCCTTGGGTCGTCATATTCTAGATGCGTCGCGTGTGCGTAGCGGTTTTTCTTGGCCTAAATTCTTAGAATTTTGGGGTCAATCTACGTTTAATGTCTTAACGTTGATTCACCGGATACTAGATTTTTCTAGGTTTTTGATTCCTCCTCAATTTTATTTTCCCCTATTCTCTGTTGTGTTCCCTTACCTCCTAAAATTCAATGATCTTTTGATATTTTCGTTTGGAACTATTTAAAGCGACCCGATAAAGAGTGCTCCCGAAAAAATAAGTCTTATTATAACGCTGAAATTTTATAGATATTGAAAAATGTAGTTTATTTTAATCTCAAAGTATCGATTTCTTCATGTTCTTGATCATCATCTTCTTCTCCGCCTTTTTCTTCGTCTTCCTCGTCTTCCTTCTCTTCCTGACTTCCACCCAAAACTCCCGCTGGCTTTCTTCTTGTTAACTCTCTAAAATCACAATTCATCAAATCCTGAATCGTTGGAAGAAGTGGAACTACCAAAGCCGAGAGATCTGGATCATTCATCTAAAAAAATCAGTTAGTTATCCCTTAATTAATTTTAATTATCTTACCATTTCCACAATTGAATTTCCAAGACTTTGTCCAAAATTTAAGGTTTGTTCCGGTGTTTGCAGATGGGTGAGAGCGGGGAATAGTGGGAAAATTGGGACGTTCTGAAAATTTTCAGTTTTTAGAATATAAGAACTTTTCAGAAAGCTGAAAACTGAAGAATCTAGTATTCCAGAAAAGCTCACAATTTTGAATAGTTAGCTTTCAGTTGCAAAAAAAGGGGGGGGGGGTGCGCACCCTATACGTACACTTTGAGCTTAATTATCTCGGTTCCTATGAGATATATAGAAAATTTGTAAACTGACAAATTACTTATCATAACATTATCTATATTTTATCAGTTGACAAATTTTTGATACCTCGCATAGGAACCGAGATAATTGAGCTCAAAATTTAGTTGGAAAACAAGGGAGAGACTCCGCCTCTTTTTCATAAACTTCTTGGAATCATAGGAAGCCAACTTACCGTACCAATCTCATGTTTTCTAGAAACATGAATCAAAAAATTGCTTCCATTTTCCAAATTCCTCTGGACATTCTCTGCAAGTGGCTTTATTCTCTTCAGAAATCTCGTGGCTTTCTCTTAAATGCTTCATAAGCTCTTTCATTTTTTGAAACCTCTGTGAACATTCTGCTATAATACAAGGGAAGTACTTAAATCGCTCATTAGCATGGGTCAACCCATGGTGGTCTCTCTGGAAAGTGTTATTTTGATTCCTCTGCATTGTTGCGTGATGGTGTTTGCAGACCTACCTCAAACCTAGTGTGGAACATCTTTTTACAGTACTCACATTTGTAATTTCTGATTCCCAAGTGATTTTTCTTATGAGAAAACAAATATCTCTTTTCTTTATACCTCCGTCCACATATTTGGCAGACATAAGGCTTTTCGGGAACATTAGGCTGAAAGTGGGCAATTTTTAAAGATTCCATGGACATATCAGTTTACCTGATTGCCATGGACCACTTCAGGACTTTCTGACCTATCAGGAACATCATAGATTTCAGTTTGCGAATACTTGGAATTCATCGTGGCTTTGAAAGTTTATATCAGAGAACAGGGATCTGGGAAAAGTGCAATATAACCTTATTTGTGTTACAGGCTATAGAAATCTGGCAAATATGTATATTCTAATTATCCTTCCCTCTTCTCAAAGCGGTAAACAATCCAAAAAAGAGCGTTTAAAAGATCAGAAAGAGGGAAGAAAAGGGACATATGGGGGGTAAATCCGATTAGGAAGATGGAGGAAGGTAAAAGGAGTATGATAGGAAAAGGTAGAAACAATTAAAAATATGGAGAGAGAGAGAGAGAGAGAGAAAGAGAGAGAGAGAGAGAGAGAGAGAGAGAAGCAAATGCAGGTGACATATTAGTAAAGATGCTGGTGGTGGCCAACGCGTGGGAAACTCATTTCTCATTATGCTTCCATAAGGTGCTAATAGAAACTCGCCCTCTATATGCACTTCGATCTTAATTATCTCGGTTTCTGTGAAAGATACCAAAAATGTGTCAACTGATAAAATGTTGCTGATATTGTGATAAACAATTTATCAGTTGACAGCTTTTTGATATCTCTCAAGGGAACCGTGATAATGGAGCTCAAAGTCCAAGTATTGGGCGGGCTTCTACATATTAGAGCATATACAGCATTCGTATCAAAATAACATAAAGAATCAAAATTGGCAAAACTCATGAAATAATTGGGTTTTCAGACTATTTGAAAATATGATAAGGGATAAGAAAAGGTTCTGTGAAGGGTAAAAATCTGGACCTAGATATCAGTGAACTTCTCGGGAACGTAGTATGTATTTCTACAGCTAATTTTTCAAGTAAAATAATTTCCGAAAATATTTCTGGACATATAATTATGCCAGATTTTTGCTATTGTGGTCCCAATGAAGCTTTGGCGGTCTGTTCCGATACGGCAAGACGATCAAGCAGTTGATCGAATTGTGGAACTGTCAAGAACTGATTGGAACCAATTTGAAGACGCTGAAAAGCTACTGTTTTCAATTATTATCGATTAATGAGGTGCTCACAAATTGAGGTGGTTGGGATGAATTGGAACTTTCTGGAGCAACATGCGGCTTTCGAGATTTCTGAAAATGATAATATATTTTTCATACTTTAACTATTAGACTTGCCTTTTGAGCCCTTTTAGAAACACCGCGGTTCTTATTCCGACCAGTTTCCGAGTCACCAGATCTGGGTAGCCTTTTTGGAGTGTGGGTCTAAAAATAAACTTTAATGTTCCAATTTCTGGTATTTCAAGATTCATTCTGCCACAAAAACCAGGATTCTAGCGCCCCTAGACGCCGAGATATATCCATTCGAAGTTTGGAGAAGCGCAGACAACGACACACTGCGTCTCTAACCTCCTCAACTTCAAATCGCTGTATCTCGGCTCTCAGAAGACGTAGAAACGTGGTTTCTGGCTCAAAATTTATCTTTTCATGTCAGAATTTTTAGCTTAGACTTGCCTGTTCTTTTCTATCACATTGGATTCGATTACCAAAGAAAAACCTTAACTCATCAACTAAACTAAACGTCACCTTTTCCATGAAAAAAAAGAAAGTTTTTAGTTTATTTCTTTTAATTTCAAATTTCTGATATTTCGAGAAACATTCTGACACAAAAACCAATGTTCTAGCGCTTCTAGAAGTCGAGATACAATACACCGTAACTTTGAGCTTAATTATCTAGGTTCCTATAAGTATATCGAAAATGTGTCAACTGATAAATTTTATAGATATTATGATAAACAGTTTATCAGTTAACAACTTTTTGATGTCTCTAATAAGAGCCGAGATAATTGAGCTCAAATTTTGGACAGCGTAGCTCAGTGGTTCTGCCAACAGGCTCACGGGACTTCAAGGGTCCTTTTCTATACCCCTTTTTTTCAAATTGCCAAAACTTACCTTTTTATCAGATTTGGTATCCATGAGGTAGGTTGCTAGGAGTATGTTGTATACTTTGAAATTCGAAAAATGTAAGAAGGTAGGTAGAGGGATTAATTATGGGGTGGAGTACAAATCAAGAGCATGAAAAAACGAGTCATGCGAAACATCCAAAATCTTTTAGGGAAAACAAATTTCGAAGATTTTGTAGTTTTATCAGGGCTGTCCAAAACGGCGGCCGGGCCTCGGCCGGCCTCGAAAAAGCCTCGGCCGAAGAAAAAAGGCCTCGGCGCGCTCCATTGAGAAAAAGCCTCGCGAGGCCTCGGCCGGCCGACGTCGGCCTCGCAAATGTGACTACGGTCAGCAAGTCGCATATTTTACGACAAGTTGCGTATTTTTTTTAATTTTTTGTTTTTTCTCGCTCTTTTTCAGCAAATCACGCATTTTTCGAGAGTTTTCTCGATTTTTCCATCGATCTGTGGCGACATGAACATTTCGAACGCCAGTGATGGTCGGTTTAAGCCGATTTATTCATTTGTTATAACCGTTATTCAATTTCAGACACAATTCAGATGCCTCAATGGTTCATTGATCCCAACAAAACCGATTGTGAATTAGTGATAAAGAACAAAAGGGAAGGATTCGGCGGTTTTTATGCTAGTTGAAATTTTTTTTTGTTGAAAAAATTAGTTCTTTTTCACCAAAAA